GAATTGCCTGCTTTTCTAGAAGTTACATTTCTGGAACCCTAGGGTTTGATCGTAGAATTTCCCACTCTATCATTCAAAAAATATTGAGTACTAACTTCTATGTTAGGCACTGAATTTCAGGCAACATATGAATCCTAGTCTCCATTCTCCCTCTCTTTTTTCTTCTTCTTTCCTGTCCACCTTCATAATTTTTTTTAAAAAAATTAAGTGATTGTGGTGGATTGACAACTGGTAGTCAACTTATACCACCCAGCTGAACTGAGTAAGCGTGGTGCTGGGTGTGGGAGGCCCACCTGGGGATTGTTGCCAGCAGCATAAGAGGCACAACTGGAGAAGAAGAAGGCTGTTGTGAGCTGGTAGAAGCTGTAAGGAGCTGATGGTTCTTTTGGAGGAGCTTGTCATGCTGGCTTTCCTGATGAGCTTGGGACCTTGTTGGCACTGAGAATGGCTTTGGTTCATTTTGGTGGAGCTCTGGTCCTCACTTTGAGCATCTCTTCCTGGCTCTGAAGGGGAAGATGGTGCACTGCTCAGTGTCCAGGAGAAGCTTGTCACATTGGCTTTCCTGAAGGGAACTTGGGTTTCCTCATAATCTGAGGAGACTGGCACCTCACTGTTGCTGAGGATGTCTGTGGTACTTTTTGGGGGAGCTCTGGTTCTTACTTTGAGCCTCACTTCCTGGCTCCAGTTCAGATCCCTCAGCCTGCTAGCACAGATCCTTCATCCCACTGGCACAGACTTTCTAGCTTCCACCACTGACCTTTGGGCCTTCCCAGCATACATCCATGAAACAGGCCTTTATGAGACATTGTCATGGGCTCTAGGCTTCCAGCTGGACTTGTGGGAGGCACTGTTATGAGCTCTAAGTCTTCAACTTGACTCATGCACGACATTATCATGGGATCCAGGCCCTCAGCTGGATTCTTTGGTTGTTAGTATGTGGACAGATTTCCTGTACTCTTTTTGTATATGAGTCTTTGGGTGACTATTACATATAATCTTATAAAATGTGTATCCTGTATTATATTGTTCACCTTGCAAGAAGCCCCAGACCAGAGCAGTGATATATAAAAATATACATACTCTGGCTTTAATTTGATGTTTCTATATATGTACACATTCTGTAATGTTTAAATCAGGTTCATCTAACCTAGCTCCTCAAACATTTATCATTTATTTATAGGGCAAATATTCAAAACCAAATTTTCTAGATTTTCAAAATACACAGTATATTAGCATTCGCTATAGTCACCCTACTGTGCAATAAAACATCAGAACTTATTTTTCTAATATAACCATAATTTAGTGCTCATTGATCAACTTCTCCCTCTTCCTTCCTCTCCTTTACTTTCTCCAGCCTATTATAACCAACATTCTAATTTCCATTTGTATGAGATAAACTTTTTTGGATTCCACATATGAATGATATTATTGAATAATTATCTTACTGTACCTGGGTTATTTTACTTAGCATAATGATCTCCAGGTCCATCCATATGGTCAGAGATGACAGGATTTCATTTTTTATGGTTGAATAGTATTTTGTTGTACATATGTACCACGTTTTTTATCCATTCATTAATTCACTCTGTGTTCAATTATTTCAACCTCTTAAACAGCAGCATACTAAGTTGTACTAAGCCAATATCCTGTCCTAAGCCTGTACTGATGAATATCATAAAATAACTAGTCACTATAGAAATATAAAGAGTGGAGAGTAGAACAATTGTTTCCAGAGGCAAACTGGGAGTTGTAACTAAAAAACTAAATTTCAAGTATCTCACCATAAAAAAATTAAAGATAAGTGAGATGAATACATTAATTAGTTTGGTTGAACATTGCCACCTTGTACACATGTATCAAAATATTACAGTGTACCTCATAAATATATACAATTATGATTTGTCAATCAAAAACAATACTAATAATACTGTTTTTAAAAGTAATATAAGAATTACTTTCTGTCAAGGCAATGTGCTCAGTAATTTTTTTACATGGAATAAATCATTTAATTCAACAGCTTGGTCTTAGTAATGCCCCACTGTAAAAATGACGAAATAGGTACACTGAGGTAAGTTATTTGTTCAAGATCTTATAGCTAAGAAGTACGATCTCAGGAAAAGTACAAAATAGGGTGGTTGTACATTCCTAGGTAACAGTCTACCTGGACTTCTATCAACTACCCATGCTTTTCAGTAGCTATTTCAAATGTTGCCCCAAATTAACAAGCTTTCTTGACACTTTTTCTCTATCAACTGAGGATTTTGCCTTCTACCTCCCAGAGCAAGTAGAAATCATTAGGCATAATATTTAAAATCTTTCATAACAAAAACCCCTCCTGAATCCAACTATGCCTCCCTCTTATCTTGGCCCCTCCTCTTAGGTAAGAGTAACTCATCTGCAGGCACTCAGGATTCCATCCGCTACCTTCATCCATTGCTACCCACCATCATTTATCCCTTCTCCCATATCTTCTACTTGATTATTTTCCTCTCAACACATAAACAAACTTGCATCCTACTATCTTATAAAACTAAAAATGAAACCCAGGGCCCCTACTAGCCACTACCTTTTTGCAGTCAAACTGCGTGAACAAGGAGACTGCATACATTCTCCCTTTCCTCACTGTACTAGTCACTTTCTCCCCACTAGGAAAAAAATACCCAAAACTCACAACTTAAGGGGAGAACTTTATTGTGGTTCATGGTTTCAGTTGATTCAGTCTCTGATCAGCTGTGTCCAAGGAAGAAACAACATGGCAGGTAGGATGACGAAGGCAAGCTGTTCACTGCATGCCAACCAGGTAGCAGAGAGAGAAGGGAGGAACTAACCCTTCCATGTCATGCTCCTGGTGATCAGCCATTTCTGATTCAGCCCAACCCACTGAATGTGAGACTATTGCAGGACATTTTAGATGTGAAATGTAACATTTCTCCCCTGGCTCCATAAAGACTCATATTCATGTCATTATGCAAAATGCATTTAGTTCATCACTAATAGTTGCCAAAGTCTTAGTTCCAGCATTACTGAAAAGTCCAAAGCCAAAGTCTTTAAAACTCAAGGAAAATTATTAGCTTTCTGTCTCTGTAAAAATGAAAAAGAAGGGCTGGGGTTATAGCTCAGTGGCACAGTGCCTGCCTGACAAGTGAGAGGTCCTGAGTTTGATTCCCAGCACAAAAAAAAAAAAAAACAAAGAATGTCAAGTACTACCAACATATAATGGCACAGGGTAAACATAGCCGTTACAAAAGAGAAGAATACGGGAAAACACAGAAACTGTATGAAAACAAAACCAAAACCTAGCAGGGCAAACATTAAATTTTAAGCTGTATGTCCATCATCCAGGGCAAGCTGGGATGAGATGTAGGCTCCAAAGAACTTGGGAAGCCTGCCTCTATCATCTTGCTGGTTTAAACCCATATTGCCTCTCTCTGGGCTAACTCTGTTCTCTGCTGACAGCTTTCCTGAGAAAATATTCCACATTCCTCGTATCTCCAAATTACTAGTGTCTCCACTGTACTTCTGGCTTCACTCTCACAGCTTCACACACTGTTCTCTCATAGGAACTGTAATCCAGTAACTTATTTTTCACAGTCTTCTTCTCCTATTAGGCCTTGTTGTGAATTTAGGTGGAATCCTCCATGAGCCCAAAACTTTTGCAGTCTGCATATCGAAAACCAGCACCATGTAGATGACCCCAGTCAGCTGCCAGTTTAAGAAGTAGCTGGATCCCCATAGACAATGGACTTGTTGGACCTCTGCTTGTCTGGTTGGCTGAACTCAAGGAAACACTTCTCTAGGCACTCTTCAATGAGCAGATGTCCCAGGGACTCTTTTCTCAAAATCTACGGTTTTGCAACCTGAGCCTGTGATGGCTGGGGTCTTGATGATTTCTGAGTTGCCCTCAAAGCATTTTTCTTCAGGTCCTTGTACAAAGTACTTGGCTTCCTTATAATGCTAATCTTTTCATCAACTATGCTCTCCTTTGCTCCAGCCTTGCGGGAACTTCCTTTCCGGTGAAACTGCAAACTCTTCAAATGATTGAGCTCTGCTGTTTGTTCGTGATTCTCTCTGTAGATCTGGCTAAAAGTAGGCAACAGTATATGGCACAGCCTCACCACTGAGCTGCCCTAAAGTTTCCTCTACCAGATTCATTAATCTTCCACCCTCAACCTCAGTCTCCTGGAAAGTCTCAGGACAAGGACAAAATGTAGACAAATTTTCTGCCATAGCATAGCACATATGGTATCTTGTCCAGCTGCCAATGGAGTCCTTGCCTTAACTTAAACTCGCTGACCTTTACTGTCCATATTCCTCTCAGCATTCTAGTGTTCTGAGCTTTGACTAGTATCACACATAAAGCACGGCTCACAATATTCTAGGAATTCTCTACTCTGCATCTCCAAACATTTCCAAACTCCTGCAAACCACTTCAAAAACTTCTAAACCACATGGTCAGGTACACTCACAGCCACAACTGCACTCTCAGTACCAATTTCTGTATTGATTACATTCTGTTCCTGGGACAAAATAACAAACACCCACAATTTAAAGGAGGACGGGTTTATTTTGGCTGACAGGTTCAGTATATTCAGCCTATGATCCAATGGTTGTTCCAAGACAGAAAGAGCATGGCAGACGGCATGGTGGAGGGAAGCTCTTCACTGAATAGTGACCATGAAGCACAGAGATGGGATGATGTGGAATACACCTTTCCAGGTCACAACCTCTAGTGACTTGCCCCTTTCAACCAAGTCCCACCTCTGAATGTGACTTTTGCAGGACATTTTAGATCAAAGCGTAACATTCAGAGACCATTCTCTTAACATCCCACTGCAATCTGGTATATACCCTCATATATGCTCCAAACTAGCCTTACCTACATTACTAGTAAATTGCTAGATCCATAGCCAATGGCATATTTTTACCTTTACCTTGGTGAACCTCTGGGAAACATCTGACACATACAAGTTTGGCAACGCTATTTTTCATAACCTCGGTACCTTCTTTGGCTTCTGGGAGAACTGGATCGCCTGACTCTGGTCTCATCTTGCCAATCCTTCCCTCTGAGGGCTTTGTGTGTTCCTATTTTTTTCAGCGTCCATTTCCTTCATGATAATGGAAGCTTCCTAGGGGTTAAGAGATAGTGAACAAAGTATACAGGTAAATATATATGGTATGTCAGATAGTGGTAAATATCATGGAGAAAAACAGAGCATTCCAGGCACGGAGAACAGAAAGTGGAAAGGCCCCCAGGTGGTAATATGCTAGGATGTTAGAGAAACAACATGACAGCCAGAGCAACTGAAGCAAAGTACATACTGTGTATATTTACCTATATATTTTGTTTCCTATCTCTTAGCCCACAGGGAGCTTCCATTATTATGATCGAAACAAGCAGTGAAAAAATGATAATATAAATAGATAAGTAACAATAAGAAATAATATCACAGGAGGTGGTAAATGCAAGGGATAGGAAAAGAAAAGGCCAATTAAAGAATTGGAACGTGAAGGGCATGGAAATAGTGATTGCTATTTTATGACATTCCAGGCAATGTCACACTGAGCATGACTTTTCAGCAAACACCTAAAGGAAGTGAAGTTCAAACCATGCCTATATATATGAGGACAAACATCACTGACAGAGGAAACAGCAAATACAAAGGTCCTCAGGTTGAGTTTTTGACATACAAAACACTCAGAATGTCCTAAACAGAATATGTTTTCCAAATCCTGTTTGTATGCTCCTCAGTTCTATGGACAGAAACACCGTCCAATCGTCCCTTGCCTCGCAGGACATTGTCTGATGAGTTGTGTTACTCCTACACTAGACTAGCCGCCCTTGAGGACAGAAGAGTCTAGCTCACCATTCTAGGTACTGAATGCAGTATGCAACAGCTGGCACGGCAGAAGTGTTCGGTGAGTGGCAACATCACACTTCACTGATAGATGCTGGCACTTCAGCTTGATATTAGACCTGAAAATGTCTCACTTCACTTTGATCAGCAAACATATGCTCGGCACTGCATTTGTGCCAAGCCCTCTGCTGGGTGCTGAGGATATAAAGATGAACAAAAAACTCTTCTCTGGGAAACTCAGTACAGGCCTGCACCATCAAAAGGAATCACAGGTTCAAGTGTGCTTATGCTAAAAATGATTTCAAAGTCTTATTATGAGTTCCATAATTTTGAAGATCTGTATATTGGATCTGTATATAGGAGACTAATAATAAAAATAATGATAATGACAGCTAACATTTATCAAGAGCCTTGTGTGCACTAGCCTCTGCGCTACTTTATAAAGAATACTCACTGATTATTATCACAACACTGTGGCTTATGACATAGTAGTATTACTATCTTCATTTTGTAGACGAAAAATAACCGAGACTAGGAGTGGTGAATTAAACTGTTCACATCACATTGCTCCTAAGAGGATGGGTTAGTATAGCAGCCCAGGCAGTCTGATATACAGCCACTACACTGTACTACTTCCATGGGAAGGATGAACTTGCTTAGTTGACCCTCAACTTACCCAGGAAGTCACGGCCTTTTACATTTTGGCCTCAGATGTATCTTTCTAGTACTGCATAATATTAAGTTCTTCCTTTCCCCACTACACAAGTAACCACAGCCACCCTGAATCCTAGCATTTACCCAAAGTATCATACCCTCTCATACTGATGGGCTTTGGCTTGAGAAGGAATCCTTCCCATTTCTGACTTGATTCAATCATCAAGGCCATTCTCTACAGAACTTTTCTCTGATGCCCCTTACCACCTGGGAAGAACTCTTTTCATCTGCAGTGTTATAGCACACCTTTGCCAGGCCTCTGGTTTAGCTTTCAGCTCTTGTCAGAACTCTCTTTACGTCCCCCAAGAAGGTTACTACAGTGCCTAATACCTATCTTTAGGCCGAGCATAGAGAAGGTGCCCATGGAATATTTGGTGAAAAAAGAATCAAGCATTGTAATCATGTGCCCTCATTTGTGTAAATGAGTTTATGGAGTTTCCTTCACACAACTTGCACTTTCTGCTTGTCGCTGTAGCCATAGATACTGGGTAGCAAGGGGTTTATCTCCATTTTTGAGATAAAAAAAAAATCTAAGAAAGAATTCCTGCTCCCCACTATCAACCCCTGTCCTGGCCAAGTAACTCGATTGAGTGTCAGTCATCACGTGGCATGGGGGCCTTCGTGGACTCCTCTGAGAGAATGTATTTTAAGCTGCACGTTACCTACAAGAATTAAGGACCTGTACTCTCCCTCTCCCTCCCCCTCCCCCTTAGTGTGTAAACATCTGCATGCATGAGAACACACATGTACATACACTCTTCACACCACCTCTTTCCACATTCTCACATCTGAGACTGCCCTGGCCTTTTGTTTCCCTGGACTGTGGATTTGGAAATCATTTATTGAAAGGAACAGCTAGTGTTTTATTTATTGGCCAATTTTGCATGCATATATCTGGTAATCAGAACAACTAATATAAAGACAACAATATGCATATAACAACCATTGTTGAATTCCTATCATCTTGTTTAGTTAAACTCTGTATCATTTATAATTTTTTCTTTTATTTTTAGTTTTATTCTCTTTAATGGTTTGATCAATCTTGCATTCTTACATCTGTTAATCTGAGCAACTCCACTGAAGATAAAAATATGTAATATAACTACCAATGTTAGCTCCTACCATTTTGTTCTGAAACCCTGCACCATTCTTATTGGTTTTGCTTTGTTTTGTTTTTGTCTATGTTATTGGTATTTTGCTATTGTTCTTTTATTATTATTATTCTGTTTAAAATAAAAACAATGGTCTGAGTGAAATGTGAGCAGCTAACAAGTGACCGAAGGCACAAGACAGCAAGAAAGCTTACGATAAAGGTGCTGGAAAGGAGAATATACTTTCAGATTAGGCCCAATAATGAGAATCAGGACTTTGCCAAGCAGAAAAACAGAATCTACCAATCCCGATGTGGAAACTAAAGATAGGGAGAAAGAAGTTACAAAAAAATCTCATTCCCACACATTTATTTAAACCTAGGAATAGGATAAGGGTGTAACATTCAATGCTCATTTTTATGGATATACATAATGTCAAAAAAGGCCATGGAACATAGTAGAATATTAGAGGAAGAACTGGGTTGAGCTGATAGAATTTACCTCCTTGTAGAGATGGGATGATAAAATGGCCCAAGTCTCACAGCAGTTCCAGGTGCAGCAAATCCAATCCTCGCATCCATGTCAGTTCCTGTGTTCCACACATGCAGAGGCTGCAGTCAACCTCTTACCAGTTCAGCAGCAGACAGGACCCAGGAGAGCAGTCTGAATACTCCTTCAGTGAAAAAAATGACTCACATTGCTTTCTAATCCTTCCCTCTCTTCTCAAGCTTAATCCATTCCCTTTCCCCCTTTAAAACATTCAAAGAGTTTTAATACTGGGCCTTCCTGATATTCTTGAGCTAGTGTACAACTGGATTCTTTGTTGCCTCAGATCACCTGGTCCTGGCAGCCACTAATGACACTTAATTTCTTTAAGCTAGAGACTCAAACCCAGCTGGCCCCATGCCATATCTAGACACAGCAGAAGGCAAGGTTAGTACAGGCCTCATCTCATTGTCCTCAGCCTGACCTCCCATTAGGGCCCAAATAAGACTCTTAATATCCAGACTTTTCAGGGAAAGGGATCTGCACAAAGCTCTGCTCACACAATTAAGGGGGACGGTGTGCTCCAGAGACATTAGGTATCCCCTACATGTTGCCTTGAAAGTAGGAAACTTGGGTAAGAATCAAACTGCGAAAACTGTTATCTGCCCACAGAAGAAAAGTGAAAGCAGCCTTGGAGCATAATCCCACAGCTCTGGATTCCAAAACTGGTCCTGTCACTGGTGGTCTGGCTACTTGTCTTAGTTACTTTTCTCATTGCTGAGACAAATTACCCAACATCCAAGCTAAAGGAGGAAAGTTTTATTGTAACTCACAATTTGTGGAGGCTTCAGTCCATAGTTGGCTGGCTCCAAGGCAGGGTGGCATGGCAGATGGACATCACAGAGGAGAAACAGTTCATAGTGTGGCAGGCAGAAGGCAGCAAAGCAGCAAAATAGCAGCAACAGGAAACAAGCCAGACTTTATATTTCATCCAGGCTGCCAAGCCATTGATTGGTACTACATAAACCCAGGGTGGGCACCCATAATGCCAGCATCACACCCTTAATCCCAGGATCACATCCTTAGTCCCACTATCAGGCACCCTCTATCTAGCCACCTCCGAAATACCCCCATCAACGACCACGGGAGGCTTTGGGGAGAAATCTAGATACAAGCCATAACAGTACCCTTGTTAAAGCACTTTCTCTTCTATAGGCAGCTGTGGGCCCATCAGTAACAGGTGCAAGTTGACCTCTATGGTGCCCTTCCTGGTGTGTCGGAGGTGGTCAAAGGTAAGACCCAGGCACCACAGCTGGCTTTCCCAGAAGTTGAGCACCTCCTCTGAGTGGCCTGGAGTGCTAACCACTTGGCCCTGCTTCCACACCTAAGCATGAGCCAGCCAGGGTGCCAAGGGGCTCTGCAATCCCTCCAGCCTCCTCAACCTCTCTGCCCCACTTCTCTACGTCTGTCTCTGGGGATAAACTTCTAGATGGCAGCCAGAGAACAGTAGCCGGGGAAATAGAAGTGCCCGTCCAAAGAACGAAACAGAGCTCCGGCGACCCAGAGAATCCCATCCGGGCTGAGCCCTCCCCTTGAGCGGGCAACGTAGCCACGCCGCTACCCGCCCAGCGTAAGGGCGGGAGGGTAGAGCCCCAGCAAGAGGTTCCGCGCCCTCTCGGTCCCCTGCCAACACCACGCCCGCACTTATTTGCATTTAAAGAGAAATGCACCGAGGAAAACAGTGGGCGGACCAGAGCATGCCAATCCACAGTAGCGATTGGGCCACAGGCCCGCCAATCAGGGCACGGACGCCCCACCCTGTGTCCAAAGAGTCCTAGGGAGGAGGGTATGGGGTAGCTGCCCAGAACCTGGGGAAGAGGAATCTGTGCAGGAGATGACTGTGGAGCTCCGGCTGCGGCGGTGGCGGCAGCGGCGGCAGCAGCAGCAAGAGCAGCGGTTTCGGTGCTCTCAGCCGCGACAGCTCCGGCCCCATCTGGGGCTAGAACGGCACAGCAAACAATAACTAGCCGGGTAGGGAGCCGGACCAGGCCGGGTAAGCCTAAGAAGCAGACAGGAGTCTCTGTCTGCTGGCTGTCGGGTGTATTACCGCGTGCTTCGCTTAGGTCGCCTGGCGGAGGGCACTGAGGGCTGGGCCGGTCGGAGTCTGGGTGTCTGGCTTCTCTCCGTTGGAGTCCGCTTTGCGGACGGTCCAGTGGACGGCGGAGCTGGCGTGAGTCCCCTTGAGGCGGGCAACTACGGCTGGGGGTGGGGTGGAGAGGGAAAACAGGCGGGCCGGCTAACCTGGGCCTTACCTCGGGCACTTGGAGGAGGAGATGGGCCCGCATGTGCTGCTGCGCGGTCCCGGGAGGGGCCCCGCCAATCTGCACCCCAAGCAGTGCATTTGTAGGCCTGGAGCACCGAAGCTTTGTTGTAGCACATTTGCTGGAACAGCTGTGTTATGCGGGTGCTGCTCACCCCCGCGGCCTTGTTGCGGCCCCTCCTTCTTCCCTCTCAGCTGTGCCTCTCCTGCCTCTCCTCTTTGCAAATGAAGCCAAGGCTTAGACACAGGTTAGAATATCCATGCTGTTTCTCCCCAAGTGGACCTCAGTTGGGCCCGTGGGCCGCCGGCTTCCCTTTGGAACTTTGGCCCTGTGGCCCAAGTCTCATCTTCTTCTCCTGGGCCTCTAAGGCGCATCTGGTGGAAGTCCTGACCGGTCGGCAGGCGAGCGGGCCATAACAGGGTTCTTTCTTTTCCTTGGGTTAGAGCCGCAGGGCCGCTTTGTCTCCCGTCTTGCCTCTTTTCCCCTTGCAGGGCATTGGCCCAGTTTTTTCTCTTCAGCCTCCTGTTTAAAAATAGCTATAGCCACGATGTTTGGGGTGGGGGGATGGATTTCGCTGCCAGAGGCGGAGAGGGACAGTCATTGTAGTAAGGAACTCACTGTGTGTTTGTGATCAAGCTAGCAAAGGAGCCAAACTCTATAACTTGGCAGTTACTTAAAAATCTTCATCCTTTTGGGTTGCTGTCATCGCCTGCTGCAGACACCTCTGACACTGGTGACCACCCTAACGTTGTACTTCACTTGGTCTTCCCAGTAGCAAGGGACTAAGCCTGACAGATGTGGCACAGCCAGGGCTCCCAGCCAGCAGCTGGATTACCCCCATAGAGCTATCCTCCATCTGGCCAAGTTTGCCTTGGCATGGACTGCTGCTTAAGGCAAGCCTTGTCCATACAAACACCTCCCTCTGCAGCTCTGCTCCCTGAAGCAGGGGCATGGGCAGGGCAGACAACACTGTGTTGCTGTTGGATTCTCTGCTCATCTGAGAATTCCAGCAGAGCCCCCTCCACCACTGTAGCTCGCTTCATTGGAACCCACCCACTGCACCTCACCTTGTAGCACCTCTAGCAATGGGCTCTAGGTCTTCCTGAGAAAGAGATAGGACATGACCATGACCGAGGGACTTTGCAGGCTGTTTCCAGACCTTTGACGAATCGATGAGAATAGATAGCCCAGCGAGCAGCAGGGCCCAGCAAAACCTGGACACCTTTGAGGTGAGGTAATGAGAGGCACTAAATCTCTTACTTGGGAAAGACTGGCTTGTGACTTTTTTGACTTCATCCAGAACTAGAGATTCCACACTATCTGTAGTCACTTCCTCCTACATCCACCAGACCCCCAACACAAACCTCTACTTGCAGCTCGGCATTTCCAGCTCAGGGCTACACCTGTCTGTCCCTCACCTTTGCCCCAGTCCAACAGCCACCTACTGTATCTGTTTTGTAGAACTCCCTTCCCCATACCCACACTGACTCATCCTGTACCTCTTCCCTCTCAGGCCTCAGTTCTCACCATACATTCCCCTGGTCCCTTTCCTGCCTTCCTCTTGCTACCCATGATGACTTCTTCCCTAGGGCTGCTGTGGCTCCTGGGACTTTTCAGGCTTAGGTTATAACAGGGGACAGACCATAAGTAAACTTCCCTGCCTCTGCTTTGTCTCCCTGTTGTTGTCAATGGCTGGGTTCTATCAGGACCCCACAGAGGAGTAACCTCAACCTGGACATCAAACATAGCCCTCTCACAGTCTAAGAGTAGAGAGTACTTCATGAATACTCTGGAAATACTTATTGTCTTTATATAACTTCCAAGACCTGCACCATTCCTGCTTTTGCTTGTCCTGATCCACATGAGTGATTAGACAGATGACATTCAAGTTTCAAATATTTACCGAGTTGCCTAATGAGGATGAAGAAAGGGGATGGTTTGCAACTATAAGAAAAAAAAATAAGTCATGATATATCCCCTCAATAATAATCTTAGGGTTGTGCCTGCCCAGACCCCAGGCATCGAATACCTTTGGTTACTGACTGATGAGCCTAGAGGCAGACTGCCATGGAGAGAAATGAAAGATCTATATATGCTGGCAGAGTTACCCTAGGAAGCTGCCAGAAAGTATAGGGGTTTAGTAAACAAAGTATAAGCAAAATTAAGGCTGGGAGCCGGTGGCTGGCAAGGAGGGTGAGTGAGGTTTTTGAGTCCCTTCTAGTTGAGATGATACGGCTCTGAGGTAGAGAAGAGGCTGGGCCTCAGTGCTGAGGATTCCTGAACCTAAACACCAGACTGTGGAATGGCAATGTAATCCTTCTGGGGGAAAGAACATTGTAGAGAACTAGGGGATATTTTGTGTATAACTGTGCTATACTAAAAATGAAAATTTTCTAAAGGTTTTAGAATAAGGTCTTAGAAAGTTAATGAAAGCATGCTGCAAATCAGGTAGGTAAGAGGACATCTGTAGATTTGGAAATAGACCCGAGGGTAGGCTCTCTCCAGAGAGAAGTTTCATGACTCATCCTTTCTTTTGGCCTTGTGGAGGCAAAGGAGGAGGGGGACCTAGAGCCTACATACCCATATGGTAGGGGTTCAGACGTGTCTTCCAGGCCTCTGCTGAACCCCTTCTTCTCAGCTAGATAGGCTTTTGAGGAGCAGGAGTTCAGACCACTGTTTTTACTGATGAGATTCCTGCGCCCTGGAAAGCGACAGGGGCTTGCTTAAGTTCTCGAAACTATTTAGGGAGAGGCTACTACCTCCTGTGTAGTGGCTCTTCGTACTATGTTTCACTGTCTTCAACTGCCTTCACCCAATATAGATTTCAATGCCTCCTTCCTTCCTCTTACTTCTTCCATTCTGTAAGACTGAGGGCAGGCTCAATTAATTTGGGGGCTGCATCTGAGGATCCCTTCACTCCTTTCTTATTTCTTTGTCTCTTGCTCTTAGTCTGCAGCCTGTTGGGGCTGAAGGTTTCAGAAGGAGAGAATATTGTTGGGAGAAGTTAGCAGTCTAATGAGTCTTTCCTAGTATACTAGAGGTGTTAAAAGTTCCTTAAGAACTGTTACATTTATACTCTTGGAATGTGTGTATGGTGGGAACACCCCTGCTCCACTGATCTAGGGAAATAAGGGAATGAGAGAAATAGCAGCAAGCATCACAGATCACAGGCTTGCTTGCAGAACTGAGAAGAAAGGGTTCCAGCTTCCTTACTTAACAGATAGGCAACTGAAGCTGGAAGGAGCTGCCTCCAAAGTATAAAGAAAATAATAAAGGATGGATGGAAGAGAACAAGAGGTGGATCTCTTGGAATAGGAAAGTGGTCCAAAGGAAAAAATGCAAGGGTGAGGAGGGGGGGAAGGGGAAATAAGTAGAATATGCCATGTGTAAGAACCTAGTAACCTCAATTAATATAGACATTATATGCCATAACATGAGCTAAGATTAATAATATCAACAAGAATGAAAAATGGGACGGGGAATTGGAGGAGGGAGGGGGAAGGGGATTAAATTTTTTTTTTAAAAAGCTGTGGTATGTACGTGTCACCACTCCCTAAGAGACACAAGCTGTGGTGTGTACATGTAACCACTCCCCAGGATGATTGTGAACTGCATGAACTGCAAGCATGTATTGATAAAATAAAAAATTTAAAATAAAAAAAAAAATCCCTGCCTCCAGTCCTGTCTGGGCAGATAAAATAGATGACAAAGGCAAAGCCCCCAGAAGAGGTATTTCATATCCTTCTTTTGTCACTTATTCCAGAGTCCCACATTTCGCCACCAGGAAATTCTTCCTCAGAGCTAATCTGAGCCTCTCATGCTACAGTTAACCTGCACGCATGCGTTTGTGTATGTGTGTGTGTGTGTGTGTGTGTGTGTTGAGGGGGTGGAGTTAACAACAGCTGGCTACCAGTATTCTTCAGTTTAACAATTCATTGGTGATTTCACAGGCATTAACCCTAAACTCTACTCACCAACTTCTCCCTTTTAAATTAAATGATCACATAGTCTTTTGTTTCCTCTACTTGGTCGTATTTTTTAAACCTTTGCATGTGTATGTGTCAGGCAGACAGGGAAGCCAGAACCACTGCAAGATGCACATGTCAACTGAATGAGGTTACATTGCATCTCCAGCTACCCTTTAGGGATGAAGGGAAAATATGGACAATAGAGAAACTAGCCTGAGGGGACTTGGTGGGCTCAGAGACAGGCATATTGGTGGTGTGGGGACCTTTTAAACCCTTTGATCTGCATTTCTTGTCACAGAGCCTTCATTGTGTTTATCTCCTACAGACTTTTTACCCCTGTTGGGCTTTTAAGCAGATACTAACCCTTCTTCCTTAGCCTGCATAGCTTAGCCCTCCCTTCCCATCTACTCAAACATCCCCACTGGGTGCGGCAACTCTTTTAAAAAACAGAGCTAGGCCAGGCAAGTTCTAGTCTCTCTGAATATTTGGAAATACCTATAGGCCAGGCCTAGTACATTTTGAAAGATTAAAATGTTACAGCTAGTGTTAGTGGTGCACTTCTATTTTGCAGAGGTGGACTGAGCCCAGCCAACTAGATATCCAGGCCTAGCAAGGCCTAGGACTCCCAAAGTCAACCCATTAACCCCTATCATGCCTCTTGACTCAGCAGTAAAATTGGGCACAGTACTACCTTCCCCCTAGCCTCTCAGCACAGTGTGAGGTAAGTGGATCTTCTGGTTCAGTCTTCCTTTTCTAGATGGGGAAACGGAGATCCAGAATATTAAAGAGAATTGCCCAGGGATGCATGTAAGTCCAAAGCACCTGGCCCCCAATTTGAAGGTCTCTTCTTCAAAGGACACTCTCCATATGCCCGCCAAGCCTATTTCCTCCCTTGTCCTCCCACATAGAGTATGGTGAAGAGAAGGGAGTGGCTACATAGAAAAGTCAGGGGTCTGCATTATTTGCTTGGCCTAACTGCTCCTCTATAGACTTTCTGTGGATACTCTGTCACTTCTGTGTCCTTGAGTTTAGCTCCTCTTGTTCTTTACCTAAGGGAGGACCTGCGGAGGGAGTGGAGCCTATTTCTGATTTCACCTTTGCTGTGCTAATACTGACATACTGGAAGCTTATGCAGGTACGGTACCTATCTCAAACATACTCCTCTCTGAGGTGACTTGGGAGATTGAGAGGGGAATAGCAAGTAGGTGGCTCCCAAAGGCCCTGTCATTTAGGTGAGAAGAGGACTTTAGCTCCCTGAGGAGAAAGCTAGCATATCAACAATACTTACCAGGGCTAGGGTTATAGTTCACTGGTATTATACTTTCCCAGCGTGTCCAGGGCCCTGGGTTCCATCCCCTAGTACCACAAGGAAAAAGAAAAAAAAGGGAAAAGAATCAAGTAAATTCATTTCTAAGGAGAAGCTGTGTCTAAATGACCACATCTCCTAGACTGAAGAGAACCCTCTGTGAATTTGTGACTGAGTCCCAGGGTCAAAAATTGAGGCTGACAAACCTGTAAGAAGCGTGTAGAGAGAGCAAGTCCTATAAATCAGACAAAGGGCTTTGACCTTGTGTGGAGGACCAGGCTATGCGATAGATTATGTGAGCTCTCTGTGTGACTTAAGGCCCACTCCGCAGTCCTGAAGTTGGTGTGACCTTGCTTCAGAAAAGGGGAAGAGCTACAGGGAAGGACACGTGCTCCCTGGCTATGGCCAGAATGCTAATAACCCAGCATTCCTGAGGCAAAAGAACCTCGGCAGAGGACAGTTGTCGAGATACAGACATCAGGGTTTAGAGAAAATCTGATTCCTCATTAATTTAATCCATATCCTCCCATTCTGTACAGTTGCTGTTCCATGAAATGCATGCTACCCCTCCCTTTGCATTTCTTGCTAGCCAATATAAATGCCTCAGTATCGGAGGTCCCCGGAGCCAGTCCACTAGACGCGAACTCCTCCCTGTACACCTTGTATCCTGAAGTTTGTCTCGTTTTTCTTTATCAGCCCTCCGTAACCCTGATCCTGTAAGCAGTGTGGACTAATTTGGTAAGTAGAGGACTGATGCACTGAAGTCAGTGTTGCAGGAAAATGAGTCTGATAATGGTGTGCAACATAGATGACATTGGAGCAGGGAGGCAGGGGACAAGATTTCAGCACTGAGGCGAAGAGGGACCATGAAGTTTGTGTCTTGAGGACCTTTGGTAGCAGCTAAGAAACTGAAGATCACTGCAAGCAGCTGCATCACAAGGGCCCATTATTGAATATCGACTCTGTGCCTACTGATCAGTTTGTCTTTACACTGAGCATATTCGGGCCTTATCATGACCCTGGATGGTATGTAGCATTTTGTTTATTTTACAGAAAAAGCATTTAAGTCTCAGAAAGGTTAGGCCACTTTCTCAAACCAAACACCTTGTAACGATTTATTCTACAAACTCCAACTGAATTAGAATACAGTTGAATCAACACCATTTGAGCGCCTGCTGTGTGCTACCAGTAGCTATAGTGACCATAAAATGGAGAGTACATTTGAGAAAGATAAAGGGACAGATTGAGGCCTGTCACAGTGGATGCAGCAAGGATGAATATGTAAACAAATTGAGAGAGCAGGGAAGATAAAACTCAGTTTGAGTTTGTTCTGCGTCTGCAGTCAGTGAACTGCCTCCTGGAGAAGAGGTGCCCGTCACCAGGAAGATTACAAAATAGGGGAGTGGTCATTGCAAAGCCAGCTAAGAGCGTTTCTGACAGCAGCCTCCACAGCTTTACAGAAGTGTACCAAGCCAGGTAGCCCTTCTTTCAGCCCATAAACTGTTTTTAAAGTAGGCTTCTGCTGTAGGATTTCAAAATGTTCCATATCATCTCCCTGGTCCTTCTCTTTAACTCAAATCCCGCATCTTTTGTCCACAATGGCAGGTTTTTATTTGAACCTTTTTTGGGCCCCTCAAACTTATCTGTCAAGAACATGGAGAGAAGTCGGGCATGTTCCACAGTTTTGGGGTAGTGGTGACGATGTTTCTGATGAGGAGAACAGTCACAGGCTAGGCCAAAAGGTCCCTTAGATTCTAAGTCAATAGGTTTTCTGAAATGTGCTGGCTAGGACCAAAACAGTAGCAGCTGGTGAAGACTGGAAATTCTGCCGAGATGGCTATGAAGGGTAGGATAGGAAAGGAAGAGGACGGCTCATGTATGTGTGAGGGGAACTTTCCCAGTCCTTGTGGCTCAGCCTTCCCCCTTTAATCGAGACCCACACAGTACAATAGAGTGGAATGAAACTAGAACTCAGGAGGCTTGGGAGCTAGTGTGTTTGTGTCACCATCCCACTGTGTGATCGTTTTTTTTTTTGGTTTTTCTCCGGTACCGGGAACCGAACTCACAAACTTGCGCTTGCCAGGCAGGTGCTTTGCCGCTGAGCTAAATCCCCAGCCCCCCACTGTGTGATCTTTTCCAAGCCTAGGCACATTTTCCTTCTGAGTGACAATGAGTAACCATCCCCCACTAGGCTTTAATGATTAATGGGTTGCTGGGAAAGGCAAATAGTGGGTGGGGACTTGTAAACTGGTAGGTACCCTAAATGAAGGGGTATCTGTCAATTTGCATTTCTTTTGCTGTTGATACTTTTAGCCAGGTTTGAAGTTTTGTCCTTTCTGCCTTAGGCTAGAGAATCTGACTGATTAAAATTCCTAGGTGATCCACAGATTTTAGCCAGTAGCTGACTCTTAGGAGTCTCTGAACATTAAAATTTAGCCAAAAGAACAGATGAGGCCTCCTGTAGGATGACTACATAGTCATCCTCATTTACCATTTAGAAATTGAGAACCAAATATTAATACAAGTTGTTACAATGAGCTTCTACTACTTTATGCATTTTATTTGATACTTCATATATACAGGTTCTGAAGCTTACAATAGCTTTAAGAAGTAGAAACTCTCAATAGCCTCATTTTACAGTTAAGGAAACTTAAGTGTAAACGTGTGAAATAACATTCTGACTGCTACCCTGGTTGACAGAGCTGATTCCTGCGGCTAGCTCTGAGGGTGGGGAAAGTAGACTTCCCATTCTCTCCATTCCTTCCTTATCCTCACTCTGTAATATATACAGAAGGGAAGGGTGGACTCAGAGTGCCCTTATCTCCAGGAAGACTGCTTGGAAAAGTCCTGGAAAACTGCAACTGATCAAGACCGTGCCTCTGGAGCTACTGCACAAATCCATAATCTTCTCTTTCTTCCCTTAACTCAGCCTTCCCTAAATTGGTTAAGCTGGCCCCAGGAAGCTGGGCTGGGAGTAGTATGTGCAAAACTCAGGCTGCAGCTGCTTCCTTTTCCCCAAGAAGGGTCTCTGGCTCAGATCTGTAGTTTGACTGGATGGGAGAAGGAAGCTTTGCCCTTATACCAACCTTTCACTGCTCTCAGAATGGCCTGAAAGTAGCCCTGGGAGCTGGCATGGCTTAGCATTCTCTACTACAACCTTTTTCCTTCCTATAATAGTAACAGCTGGACCAGACTAGTTTGGAAGAAGTACCTTACTCACCAGCCCACCTGAAACTTAGTCACACTAATTAAAGAACCCAAGGATTGAGGGGTGCTGCACTTGGTAGGATACTTCTTAGCAGAAACTCTGCAGGAAGCTAGCTTCATCCCAAGGAAGCTGCAGAGTCTGTCCCTTGTTATTCTTTTTGCTTTCTACCCCAGTTGTCTCCTGGTGAACTCTTACGTTCCTAAGTGAAGGCAGCATAGCCTATTGGAGAGGGACAGCTTTGGGACCTGGTGTATTAGCAAGGAGTACAAAGAGGCCTAGAATGGACATAGGTAGGTGGGAGACTGGCAGCTATGGCAGGCTCTTGTTATCCTCCTTTTCAGTGTCCTGGTGCACATAGGCAGAGACACTACGAGTGGCTGGAAGAGGAACATGCCTTTGGGAGAACAAGGCAAGAGAAACATGGTAAGATATAAGGTTTCAGGGCTGGTTCTTGCCAGCAAAGGTAACAGTGGGCCTGAAGTAGGGAAACAGAATCTCCATTACAGGAACACAACCTACCTAACTTATCTGCTCTTCCCACACACAGAGGGTTTTTAAAACTGCTCTTAGCAAATAATTTTGTATAGATCTACACTTTTAAAAATTGAGAAATAAAACCCTTTTACATCTGGCTTTCCAAATGTTATTACCATTCAGTCCATAGACAGGGGCACGTGTCATTCCCTGTAGCTCCTCCTCGTTTCTAAAGCAGGCTCACACCGACCTCAGGACTGGGGAGTGGGGCTTAAGTCACACAGAGGGCCCCTCATAATCTGTCACGTAGCCTGGTCCTCAACACAGGGTCAAATCCCTTTGCCTGACCTACAGGACTTGCTCACTCTACATGCTTCTTGCAGGTCTGTCATCCTCAATTTCCTGACCCTGGGCCTCAGTCACAAATTCACACTATGGTCCAAAGCAACCAACCTATCCCTTCATTTCCACACAGGAAATGGATGTATGTCACATGAAAAGCCTCTTGTGTATGGTCTCCTGCTTTCTATGAAACTGGGTCCTAACTTAGAAGCGGATAATAGTAACAGTAATGCTAATATTTCTTATTTGCACTGTACTTTTCAAAGTGCTTTTTTGATGCCACTTATGTCATCTAATCCTCACTCATCTAATGACCACTGCAATTGGACTAGCCAGGTAAAGAGATAAGTAAAGGAACTTTTGTGATCTCATGGTCTCAGAATAGCTCACAATCTCAGTAGCTACCTTGACCTGTTTGGAGTGCCCTGGCCGACAGGTAGCTGGCATGACTTGGACTTCCTGTGGACCATGGCTCCTTTTGCAACACTGCAGCTGCCTGTGACAGGAAAAAGGACAACATAGTAGCTTCACTTCTACCCTTACAGAGCACAAGATCAAGGGCAAGACAAGACCCAAAGGGATTTGCCCTCTAGCTAGGGTATCAAGTTTCTGGAAATCAACCCTGTTTTATTTGGGGTTATGCTAACAAGGTACTTTATAAGGAATCATGCCTTAATACTCAACTTAAGGAATAATGGGGGCTATTCTTTAAGGCCTATATGTTGTGGCTTCAGACTGTTGCATATAGGACTCTCTCCCTATTAGAATAGGAGCTCCCTGAAATCAAGAATGGGTTTCTCTTCTTTGTCTGCTCTGTAACACTGAACTTGGTGCACATAACTTACTACACATGTTTTTACTTCATCCCTGAAATTACTGACAAGATTGTTATTATGGTGTTGGAGATAGGATGGCAATAATAGAATCGTTCTGTGAAGTTTTATTCCCCTCTGCAGCATTCATGAAACAAACCTCTCCTGAACATTTAGTAAGTGACAGGCATTGAGCTAAGTGCTGCAGAGCAGATCAAGCATGGAGGCCTCCAGCCCTTGCTTTTAAAGGGAGCTCCTAGTCTAATAGGAAGTCTTATATGTAATAGTCTAAAGGTCACTAGGGTTTTGCAAAATGATGGCTGCAGTCACTGTAAAATACAAGCCTGGTGGGGGTAGGGAGACCATGGTGGGAGTGTGGAAGGAAAGGGAGGTATTTTGGGAAGGTTGGTTGTTAGTTCTTTTTGTTTCATCTCTGTTGGCACTGGGGTTTTTGGAGAATTGGGAACCTAGACCAAAAGGGTATGGCTTGCTTCTTGTTTATTTGCTTAAATAGCTATGAAGAGCCTGTCTCCCAGACCAGAAGCATGAATCATGTAGAGTTGAGCCTTCTAGGAGTTGCCTTCCCAGAAAAGGAGCTAGATGAGGCCAAAATAATGAGAGGAAGAGAGAAAATCTGCCTTTTGGTTCTAAAGTAGAGTGGAGAGTGATTCCACTTGTCAAAGGCAACATTAAAATCTCTTCTCAGGAGGATAGTCAATAGAGTCTCACCTAGGCCAGCCTCTCAGACAACCCCTATGAACGGGAGGTGTTAGTAGGCCTCCTGGATGCAGGATACTGAAGCCCAGATTATATTTTTCCTGAGGCACTTACATTGTCAGAGTAAGTTCTGCATTGCATCTCTGGTCTGCAAATTTGTGAGACTGCTTCTCTGGAGTTTTGTAATCTCTCTTGGCAACCAATAGCAACACTAGGCCTTTTGTACATCTGCAGTTGCCTCTGCCCAGTGCTCCCCTGAGTTTAGGGTGGCCTGAAAGAAGTAGATTGGTAAGGAAGCAGCTAGCGACAACTGTCTACTGCTCAGTGTAGGGTTTCGTTGACTTGGGGCCTAGAAGGGGCTGGCTCAATGACCCAAGCACATAGAGTGAATGAAGTTTTTCCCCACATTGTCTTCCTTTGCCCATGGTTCCACTTAAGCTTGAGACCACAGATACCTGTGAAAACAAACCCAACCTGGGTGCTTGCTCACCGGTATCTACCTCTTTGTCTTTGTCTCTCTCGTCTCCTCCAGGCGGCCCTGTGATTCTTCTTGACTGATGATATAACACCACCTGGAAGCTTGAGGCTGCGTTACCACCTGAACATACCTGAGTTTTCCCCCGCATCATGGAGACTCAAAAGAATGAAGCTGCTCAGACCAAGGGAGTGGCGACTTCTGGGGATAACCAGGACCAGGAGGCAGAGAAAGGAGCCAAGCACAAGACAGATGAGGTAACAGAAGGGCCAGTGTCAGAGCGACACTCATCTGGCCCTGGTAGACTGAAGAAAACTGCTATGAAACTCTTTGGTGGCAAGAAGGGAATCTGTACTCTGCCTAGTTTCTTTGGAGGGGGACGAAATAAAGGTTCTGGAAAAAACATCTCCAAGAAGGGTCTAAGAAAAAGCAAAACACATGATGGCCTGAGTGAAGTAGCCCATGACGCTAAAGATGTTGTCAGTGAAGAAACTGGCTACTCCCTACCTTTTCCTGGTTCACTCTGCCAATTTCCCAGCTCCCAGAGTACCCATGGGGCTTTGGAGATAGGCTACAGGCATAAAACATCTGTGGCGGGAGCCACCAAAAATGTTGGAGCTGACAAGATAGCCCCTGCTCCAAAGCCAAAGAAAGGCCTGAAAGATTTTTTTAACAGTATCCGCCGTCACCGGAAGAGCAGGGTTGCTAGAGCTGAGCAAAGTGAGCCATGGGCCAAGGCACCTGAGGGGGCCAGAGCTAGATCTCATGAGCATGTGAGCTCAGTCCCTGTGCCTTGCTCTGAGGAGACCCTCCAAGCCCCTGCAAAGGAAAATGCCAAACCCCAAGATACTCCAGGGCCAAAAATATCTCCAGCACCAGAGCCTTCTTTACCAGCTACGGAGAAGATAGCCTGTAAAAATCTAGAAAAATCCATAGGAATCTCTGCCTCATCACTTGTACAGCCCAAGCTTGCCCCTGAAGCCAGTACCCTAGAGGAGTCCCACAGGCAAATGGCAGATAAGGTTGTGTTGGCAGAGCTAAATCCACCCAATGGCCCTATGGGGGATCAGCTGAGCCTCCTCTTTGGGGATGTCACATCCCTGAAAAGCTTTGACTCATTGACAGGTTGTGGTGATATTATAGCAGAACAGGACATGGATAGTATGACAGACAGCATGGCTTCTGGGGGTCAGAGGGCCAACAGAGATGGGACCAAGCGAAGTTCTTGCCTGGTGACCTACCAAGGAGGTGGAGAAGAAATGGCCTTGCCAGATGATGATGAGGAAGAGGAAGAAGAGGATGAGGAGGTAGAATTAGAGGAGGAAGAAGAAGCCAAAGAAGAAGAAGATGATGACTTAGAATATCTTTGGGCAACTGCCCAGATGTACCCAAGGCCCAATCTTAATCTAGACTACCATTCCACCACATCCCCAGGCCACCATGGCTATGTGCTCCTTGACTCAGTTCAGTCCTATGCTGGTCTTGCCCCTGGAGAACTTTTGACTCCTCAGAGTGACCAGCAAGAGTCTGCCCCCAATAGTGATGAAGGTTACTATGACTCCACCACACCTGGATTTGAGGATGATTCGGGTGAGGCACTGGGGCTTGTCCACAGGGATTGCTTACCCAGAGACAGCTATAGTGGAGATGCCCTATATGAGTTTTATGAGCCAGATGACAGTCTTGAGAACTCTCCACCTGAGGATGACTGCCTTTATGACCTCCATGGTCATAGCTCTGAGATATTTGATCCCTTCTTGAACTTTGAGCCCTTTTCCTCTTCTCGGCCTCCTGGGGCAATGGAAACAGAGGAAGAAAGGCTAGTGACTATACAGAAACAGTTGCTGTACTGGGAACTTCGTAGGGAGCAGCTTGAGGCCTGGGAGACGTGTGCTCGAGAGGTGCACGCCAGGGAGCCCCACAACAGAAAGGCCTATACCCAAGAGGCTCATGCCATAGAGGCATGTGCTCGAGAGACTCAGACTTGGGAATCTCATTCCGGGGAGGCTGAAACCCAAGAAACCCAAGGCCCAGAGGGTCGTGCTATAGAGGTTAAAGTCCAAGAAGCCCAGGCCTGGCAGGAGAAGCCTATTTTGGAGTATCAGATGAGGCCCTTAGGCCCATCAGTGATGGGCCTGGTGGCAGGGACATCAGAAGCCTCTCAGACTTCCCACCAAGGAAGCACTTCAGCTTTCCCTGCCACTGCGAGCAGTGAGCCAGACTGGAGGGACTTCCGTCCTCTGGAGAAGCGTTTCGAGGGAACCTGCTCCAAGAAAGATCAAAGTACCTGTCTGATGCAGCTTTTCCAGAACAGTGCCATGTTCGACCCAGACACGCAAGAAGTCAATTTTGGAGGCTCTCTCAGGAGGGCCTACCCTACTTATTCACCCCCCGCGGAACCAGAAGAGGGGGGTGAAAAGGAAGGGAATGTCGCTGTGAGTTTCTCACAGGCCCTAGTGGAGTTTACTAGCAATGGAAACCTTTTTTCTAGCATGTCTTGCAGCTCGGATTCTGACTCCTCCTTCACTCAAAACCTCCCTGAGCTGCCCCCCATGGTGACCTTTGACATAGTTGATGTGGAGCGAGAAGGGGAAGGGAAGTGTGAAGAGAATCCTGAGTTTCACAATAATGAAGACCTTGCAGCCTCCTTGGAAGCTTTTGAGCTGGGCTGTTACCACAAACATGCCTTCAACAACTACCACAGCCGATTCTACCAAGGTCTATCTTGGGGTGTAAGCAGCCTCCCTCGATATTTGGGGCTACCTGGCATGCACCGTCGACCTCCACCTGCTGCCATAGCTCTCAACAGGAGAAGCCGATCTCTTGACACTGCAGAGACCCTGGAGCTGGAACTCTCTAATTCTCACCTGGCCCAGGGCTGTCTGGACTCTGAGCTTCAGGCCCAGCAGGAAGATTCAGACGAAGAAGATGAAGGGGAGGAAGAATGGGGCCGAGTCAGTTCTCTGTCGCTCTATACTGAACCCCCAGGGGCTTACAGATGGTCTACCTGGGCTCCCTGTCCTCTTCCAGTGAGGCCATGCCCTGCCTGGATAAACTCCAGCCAGTTGGGTGGGCCTTCCAGCCAGTCTCCGTATGGGCAAGCAGCCTGTTGTGTACCTCCTGTAGCCATGTCAGCATCAGGGCCAGAGCCAGAGACAATAGCACCTGGGGAATCTAGGCCGCAGATAGCCCGGCCTTCACACCTCCCCCTGCCCATGGGCCCTTGCTATGATCTCCAGCCACAGGCCTCCCAGAGTGTGAGAACCAGGCCTCAAGATGTGTTAGTGCCTGCTGATGAGCCCAGTTGTTCCTCCAGTACTGGAAGATTCAGCCCCAGCCCTTTGCACCAGGCTAAACCTGTGGGCATCACTCACGGCATCCCTCAGCTGCCTAGGGTCCAGTCTGAGTCCTCCCAGCCTCAGCCCAGTCACTACAGGGCTTCCAGCCTTGACCTGTCAAAGGAAAAGACTGAGCAAGGTGCCTCTCTTCCCACAAGCTACTCCTCCACTGCTATGAATGGAAACTTAGCCAAGTAGTCATCATCAGTTCTGGAGTAGGGGCATGGGGCCTGAGCATGTGAATGGGGATTAGGGGTTGGGCAGAGGGGTGGGGGTGGGTATTGCTGTTTAACTTGAAAATCCTTTTGTGGAGGAAAACTCCTCTGGGTTTTCACTTTTGTTTTCCCCTTTCCCACTTCTGCCATCTATGGCCACGTTCAGCTCAAGAACGTCTGCCCAGAAAGCCTACTGCTGCTGTGCTCCAGTTTTTGTTTTCAGGGTTTCTTCTTGTGACCAATGCAGGATTTGGGATGCTATAATTTTGTGCCTATTCAAGTTGCCAAGTTAGTGATTATATATATCATGCATCCTAGACAAACTCTAAACCTTTACCGTCTTCTGTTCCCTCCCCCTAGTTAATGATGAACTGACGAGCAGCCAAGTCTGTATGTACTGCTTTTCACTTGGGGATGGGGGGCTGTTTGCTGTTAGCAATGTGAAGTTATGGTACAGATCCTCCCCCTCACATTCAGCCTTGGCATAGCTGTCACTATTACATCAAATGACTGTAAGCTATTCATGCCAGCTAGGTATGCTTAAGATCAAGTAGCATGTGTCTAACTCCTTATCGCTGTGGACTTTGGCATCATCACCAGATGGGGCCTTTTAACTTGGCCTGCCATAGTTTGGATTGAAGACAAAAACACTAATCCCCTTAATGGAATGATTAATTTTGTCCAGTTGCAAACAAAGGATTAAAAAAAAGTTCTATTGTGGACACTGCCATAGTCATGAGCTCTGGAATGATAGGAATTTTTTTCTTTCTTCTCTTAACCCTGTGATCGCTTGAGTTACAGACACTTGAATTTTCACTTTGTCCTGTAAGAGAAGTTTTCATAATCTCACCGTAGTCTTTTCATGGAAATAAGGCAAGAAACACAACCTATATTAGACTTGGCTATAGGGAGTGGGCTTTTTGTGGGATACAGGGGCAGGGAAAAAGGAGGTCCATTTGTCCCAGCTGGCAAGAGAGGAGATTTCATACTGTGGAGCTTGAGCCAGCCCAACTTCTTATAAAGGAAAATTGCTTCTCCCCAAAACCAAAAAGTTTCTTAAGCCTTGCTCACCTCTTATTTTGGATGTTATAAAGAGAGACTAGGCTTGCACTCTTACCACAGGATACCAAAGGCAACTCAGCTGCTATTACCAGCACTCTGAAGAACTTTCATCTTTCAACTAGTCAAGTCTTTAGCATCACCAAAGGACCAGGCTTCTTGAGAGGAAAGACTGTGGTATGCCCTCACTCTTATCAAACTACAAGATTCTGATTCGTGTGGCAGTTTCAGTCCTTTATGAAATGAATAGCACCCTCTCTTCTGCATCCATGAGTTTTCATGTTGAACTAGGTTGGAAATACTGGTGATGAAGAGTTTGCTGTCAGGAAGACATTGCAACAGTCTAATCTTCTCATGCCCAACTTCTCATTAATCCCCCTAAGGGAAAGATGCTTTTAAATTTCTTTATTGGAAATGGCATGGACATTTTGTGTTACCTGGATGTGTTGACCTAAATTATCATTCTTGCCTTGTCTGACCCTCCCTCCAGCCATCTTTATGCCTGTTAAGAGAAGTCAACAGAGCTCTTGCCATTCCTGAGATATGGCAATTTAAGCTTGGAACAGATGCTGATGGCTCACTGAATCAAGGTGATTTTGAAGGAAAGTGCTCCTTGGCAAGGGGCTGTATTCATCCAGGCTCTTTGTCATGATGCTCAGATTTGGGCTGGTCTCATAACCTTCCCTAAAAAAAGCAGACCTGCCTGGCAGGTGTTATGTCCCTGGAAGTACCACACGAGTTTCTGTGATGCCAGCAACACACCTCAAGGAACCCTGACCAGCTCTCCAGGCTAATATTTGCTATACTGTGAAGAAATGCATCTGCCATGGAGCAGAAAAATGGAAGGAATGTCCACCCCATCTCAGCACAGCATTCCAAGAGAGAAGTTACCAGATTCCCACCATTTAGCCTCTTACCAAAACTGCTGTGGAAGGGTAAGGCTGAAATTGTCCTGGCTATTTGGCCAGAAGGAAACACCAAATGCCTTTACAACAGGAGAAAACCCACCTCACTCTGCATTCAGGGCAACTTGAGCTCCTATCTGAGTGTGGACTGTACCAGCCACACAGATGGTAGCTATCACCAGCCTCTATATCCTGCTGGAGAAGGCCGGTCACCAAATCTGGGGAGAGGAAAAGGAAGTTTTCAGCCCTTGGCCAAGAGCAGAGGGCTACCCTCAGGATCAAAAGGTCAGCAAGATGCACTGACTCTGTAGAGAGCTGTTATAACCTTAATATACTTTGCTGGGCTTTGGAAGCTTACACACCAGCGTAGGACCTGGGGTTAATTAGCAATTCATGGTTTGGACATCATCACTGCCTCCAAGCTCCTTCACTTCTCTGGCTAGCCCAGGGACAGGGTCCTTATTACCAAAAGTGGGGCAGTTGGGTTTCATGGCTAAAGAAGCATGCCCCTTTGAGTCTCTAGAGCTTAGAAACTTATGACTAAATGCCAGCTGCATTTTTGAAGAGAAATACTTGGCTGGGAATATCTGGTGATGGCAGCACAGATTGGCAGTGGGAGAACCAACCAAATTCTAGTCCTATGTTAGTGTTTGATAGCTCCGATCAAGAGAATTCCCACGTAAGACCAGTCCTTCAGGGACCAGCGAATGTTGATAGAGAAGTCTACCCAGCAGCCCTCTCCCAAGGCCAGGATAATAGCTTCTTGGTGCTTTAGAGTCTCCAAGGAAGCCTTTCCTGCTCAACTGGCTTTAGCCCGGGTACTGGGACACAAGTTTCCCAGGATAAAGACTTAAGTAAACAGTCTCTCCCTCAAGGAGGAAAGTAGCTTTCTACACTAAGAAGGTTGGGTGTGTGCCCTCGTCCTACTGCCAGTGGCTTTCCCATCTGTGCTGCCATCCTACCTGCCCTTGACCCCCAGGCCCCATTGCTAGAGGGAGACATAAGGAGTTTAGCAGGAAGACTTCAAGTTTACCCATGTGTATGTTGCATCCAAGTTGATACATATACATATATATATATATGTATATGTATCAAAAGTCAATTATCTATTTTTGTATTGTTTGCATTTTATATTCATGGAAAACAATGTTTACCAATTGTTCTTTTCTGATATATTTTATTTTTAAAAGGTGCTGTTTATAGTTTTAAACAAAAGATGACTACAAAAATCACTGCTGCTTCTGCAGAGGGCTGGGCTTTCAACTATCTAGGGCCCACTTTCTCGTTTCCCGCTTCCCACTCCTGCCATAATGCGCTGTTTGTTCCCTCCCCAGCATGATAGGAACAGCAGATGTCCAAGTACTGAAGACAAATGCTAGGTACCTAAGGTATGCATAATCAGGTAGACAGTGTGTTGTTTTATGGCTTTATGTTTTTCCCTTGTATCCTTCATTTTGTGTACACCTTCTCAAAGTGCTCATCTCTCTTTTTTTTATATTTCATGCTTCCGTTTTGAAACCGGTGTTTCCTTCTTGTACTATTTGTCATATTGAACTTTTCCAAAGGAGCATTTTGGAAACATTCTCCATCCAGGAAGGAGGGCATAGCTTTTAAGCCACATCCCTTTCCTCAAGATGCTGGGAGAGACAAATGGCAATGATGCTCCAACCATCAGGAATTAATTATCTCATTAAGGAAATCCTTGGATGAGACTTTCCTGGAGCTCAGATTGTAGATTGTGACACCAAGAAGAGACTTTGAGGAACTCTTTGATCCTTCTTGCTGCTTTGGGGGACTTTCTTCCTACCACTGTTCCCCCTTCCCTACCCTGCTCCAGCTCATATGTGGATGATACTTTGGGAAACAGTGATTTTCCAGGTAATGGCTTATTGGCCTGATCCTCCATTTTTCCATCCTATAGTCATTCAAAAGAAGAAAGCTCATATTGATGTATATGTGTGTGTTAAACCTATTAAGAGATTGGGCTTTGATTATTATTGTTGTTGCTACTGGTGCTTATTTCCACTGCTGGTATATAGGAGTGGGGCGGGAGAAGAAAACAGGAGTGTATATTTAGGTCATGTTAAATAAAATGTCTTGGGGAACAAGGGAAGAAATTAGGAACTACAGTACATCCTCACCATAGATGTAAGACTTCTATCCCAGTGTAGAGGGGCGTATGGTCCCTTGCCGTGTCTGAAATTTCCCTGAGGTATCACAGAATAACTTGGATTTTGACCTCTCTACTCCTAGCTCTCAATGACATCTCTATATCTTGATGCACTGCCTGTATGTTACAACATATATTTCTTTTGCTGAATACTAATAAATTTGGGTACAGGAGGGACCCCACCTGCACATCACTGAAGTGCATTCTTGTCACTTACTCCACAGCAACATGCCTGGGATCTGTGGTTGGTAGGTTTGCTTGAAGGAAAATGGAGAACTGAGAAAGTGGGGGAAGGGGCATCCAGCAGGGGAAATAAACCAGAGCTGAAAAAGATCAAAGAAAACTTCAGTTCTTTCAGACCAGGCCCTGTATCCCAGTCAGATTATATGCCAGTAAACACTACGACACCATCTACATGTTGAGACCTGCCCCTTCTTTTTGCACTGCCAGTGGCTAGCTGGCACCTCTAAAGTTAATCTGTTTGTGCTGCCTCTGATGCCAAAGATAGTCACCCCTTACTGGTGGCTCACTGAAAAGGATGTGTCTAGTAGGGTAGTTCAAGCTGCAGGAATGGTATCCTTCACCAAGACTATTGTCTAGATGGCTGCCGAAGATGAAGGTTGCACTTGTTTGGCTGTGAGTTGGAGAGGGGAAATACAGCTTTTGTTCCTTATTGTAGGGTGTCTTATCGAGTGGGCTCCACAGATATAGCACAGCGGCAACTGCCCCCTTAGGCTTATCTGTTGGTGTTCAGCCCTATCCTACCTTAGGCGGGTGTCTTAGTTTTTTTTTCTCATTGCTGTGACAAAATATCAAACACCCAATGTTAAAAGACAAGGGGTTTATTTTGGCTCACAGTTTGTAGAGGTTTCAGTCCATAGTCAGTTGGGTCCAAGGCAGGGCATGACAGAGGGGCATCACAGAGGAAAAATAGTTTATGTCAGGCAGAAGGCAACAAAATCATCTAAGCAAGTGACAAGCAACAACTCTCTGCCCCTTATATCTTATCCAGGCTACCCACACTTAAAATGGGTCACACTCACACCCTTAATCCTAGCATCACATCCTTGAGCCCCACATCACAAACTCTAGATCCAGCCATTTCCTAAAAGTCACTTATGAATGAATGAGGCTTTGTCGGGGCAGCTAGATACAAACCATAACATTTCACCCCTGGCCCACCCAAAAACTCATATACATTTCTTTATGCAAAATGCATTTAATCCATCTCTAGGAGTTGCCCAAAAGTCCTAACAGTTTTAGAACTGCTGAAAAATCCAAGTCCAAAGTCTCCTCTGAGATTAAGGCAAAGCTTACCTGCACAAATGAATGATAAACACTTCCAACATACAATGGCACAAGATAAATATTTCCATCCAAAAGGAACAAAGGGGGATAGAAAGGAATGGGAACAAAGGAAGTCCAAAATCCAGCAGAGCAAACAGTCCTGCAGGTCTATGTCCAGCATCCCAAGCATTCTGTAGTACACTGAACTCCAGACAGCTTGAGTGGCCCCCACCCCTTAGGCAGCACTGGTGGTTGTAGCTCCCATGACTTCTCTCTTGGGCTGGTTCTTTTCCCTCCTGCAGTTTCCTCAGATGCCCCATGTCCCTGACTTTTCCAAACTTCTGGGGTCTCCACTGCACCTTTAGCTTCACACTCACAGCTTCACACACTGCCCTCTCAGGGGCACACTGCCTAGCCTCCTGGGCCTTCTGAAATCTGGGTAGAAGATTTCCTGACACCACAACTCTTACATTCTGCATGCACTTAAAGTCTGCACCACATGGATGATGCCAAAGTCTGCTGCCAGCTGGATCAGTAGCCAGGCTTCTTTCTCTCATCTGTAGTGGTCAACTGCCTATGAGCCAAATTCTGAGAAACAACTTCCCCAGGCTGTTGCCATTCTTGAACATGATACCCTGGGGCTGTCTTCTCAAGGCAAAGTCTTTCACTTTGCAATTTTGAGGCTGTAAAGGGAAGAGTGTCCTGCTTCTTGTGATGTCCTCAGGCCATTGTTTCTATTGTTCTCTTCTGAACTAATTGTATTCTTCTTGCTAGTCTTCTCAGCAACCAATTTCTCCTCTGTTCAATCTTTGCAAGCCACAACTTTGCTGGAGCATTTTTGGCTACACACAAAATGTTTTAAAATCATCCTGCTGGGCACTTTGTTCTTTATTCTCAACATAAATCTGGAAAAAGGCTCCCAAGAGTAGCCATGCCACCACCTCAATATTAGATTGCCTTAAAATTTCTTCTAGATTAGTTTACTGCCCTTAATCTCAGTCTCAAGTAAAGTCTATGGACTTGAGCAAAATACAAACCTGCCAAGCATAATATACACTGTCAGGAGTCTAATAGCCAATGCAGTTCTCCTACTCAGCAGAAACCTCCTGAACCTGGTCTTTACTGGTAGCATTTCTATCAGCATTTTGGTCTTCTGTTCTCTGACAAGAATTTCCCATCAAATACAGCTTAAGGCATTCCAGGGCTGCTGCTTCAGACAGCATCTCCAAATCTTTCTAAACTGTTCTCATAAGCCAGTTCCAAAGGTTCCTGAACCACATGTTCAGGTATAGTCACAGCAATAACCCCACTTCTCTGGTACCAAATTCTGTGTTAGTTACTTTCTTTCATTGCTGAGGCACAATATTTTACAGCCAAAGTTGAAAGAGGAAAGGTTTATTTTGGCTCACAGTTTGGAGAGATTTCAGTCCATAATTCGCTGGCTCCAAGGCAGGGTGGCATGGCAAAGGTACAGCACAGAGGAGAAATAGTTTGTGGCAGGCAGAAAGCAGCAAAAAATGCAAGCAGCAAGTGACAAGCAATGACACTCTTCCCTTTATATCTCATCCAGGCTACCCACCCTTACACTCACACTGTTAATCCTAGTATCATATCTTTGATCCCCACATCATACACCCTAGTTCCTGCCACCTCCAAAAAGCCCCACTTATGACTGATGAAGCTTTGCGGGAACATCTAGATAGATACAAGCCATAATGGCAGGAGTCACCACTTCCTGTTTTGCACAAATATCTACCTTTGCCACCAACCAGGAGGAGGTGATTGTGCTCATAGTTTTTGTTTCTTTAATCCAGACTCTTACCCTTGGCCCCTGGAAAGTTACTTGGCCCTACTGGCACTTGTGGGTATTTCCTTAAGATCTCCCACCTGAAATCTCCAAGCTAACCAGAAGATTTGAAATAGCATCTGCTTGAAAGCCCTGGGGGCAGTGCTGGCATGGACAGAATGGGAGGGCTCTCTGGGCTCGCTTCTCAAAGCAGCGAAAAAGTTTGGTGGCCCCCGGGACTTTATGAATTAAGCAAGGGCAATTAAAAGAAAATTAGCCAAAAAAAAAAGAGAGAAAAAAATAAGGAAATTAGCAAGAGAGAATTTCTTGGGAAGGGATTTGACACTTAACAAAATATTGATTTGTCTGACATAGAATGCTGTGGGTCGGGCAGGGTGGGGCTGGTGTGGTTGCTAAAGAATCTTTTGAGAAAGATGCTCTTGGAAGATTCATCAACTCATTACATCCAGTGGAAATTAATGGGAATGTTGGAGTCACAGAGGACTGGATTTCTGTCCTTGCTTTGTGCCTGTTAATCAGTTGAGTCTTGGACAATGACCTTCTTGTGTGTAGGTCAGAATATCATATTATCTCAGAGTGACACAGAACTTTTTCAACTACCTAAATCCAGAATTCCTTACCCTGATTCTGACTCAATTGGGCTAAGGTGGAGTCCTATTAATTTTTGTTGTGCCATGACTCTGGTGCATTAGACCTGCTGGACAAGAGGGGAGGTAGGAACACTTTAGGTTTTGCACTGACAGATGGCTGCTTTTGTTGTGGCTACCTAGGAAGTCATTTGCAGTACTGGAGGGGACTGTTTGTGGAGGTCTTGCCATGGAATGCCAGATTTAATCCAGGCTCTTGTGTAAGACAATGAATTGCAAGCATACACTTGGTAGCAAGTGGCAAGCAGTTACATTTATTGAAGACTACAGGAAGATGTGCTCAGAGCATGTAGATGCTGACAAAAGATATAGCACATACATAAAAAAAAGGTGCCAGGGTGACAGGAAAGTAAAAACACTGCACAGAAATCATAGCACACTGCAGTGGCAGCAGCCCAAGATGAACGAGGCTTTTGGAATTTAAAGGATATGCACCTCAGCCCAGGTGCTTCCCCATGAATCCCTAGGTATGATTGACAGGATGACTTATTTCAGGAGCTCTCAACGTGGATGTTTCCCTCAGCATTTCCTCTGACCTTAATTACATATATGACATATAGTACGTATTTATGAACCCATAATGAGGTTTGAGTAGGTCGACTGATCCAACATGCATATGTTCTTCCCTAGTGCATGAGAAAACTCCTTGGTTTTTGTTATTTTATTTCCTACTTCTCTTGGGATAATGGAAAGAGGAATGGCCACAGCCATAGGGAGCTGTCTAAAATTAAATGGAGAGAAGAGAATGACTCCGTCAGCGCCATTGTTCCTAACTGTACTAGAGGGAGCCATCTAAAATCTTTCTTTTACTGCTGGATATCTTGATAGGCTGCAACATACCACTCAGTCAATTCCACACTGTCCTATGTTTCCTCTGAGAGCCAAAGTTGTACATGAGAGAGATTTTGTTTAGAAAAGATGCACACCCGACAGATAAGAGAGCTAACTCTGCCCTTTCCCGTTCACAAGGAAAGCTCAGAACCCTTCTAAGTATGTCCATCCTGTCTGCATAATTTCTAGGATTTAGTTCACTGCATAGCTTCTAAGAGCCTGATCCATCCATAAAAGTAAGGGACCTGAGAGCAGCACTTTCTTGTTTACCAATTTCTTTCATCTCCATTAACTTTTAGAAAGCCTTAAGGTGGACAGAGTGTTGTGATGGGTTGGCTTTACACACCTCTGCTCATCTGCAACATGCAACTATAGGTATCATATCTCTAAGCTTCAGTAATGAATTAAAGAGGCAGATTTCTTTTAAAAAAGGAAGAGAGAAGATTCAGCATTGCTGAATAGAGGAGCAGTCACATTGGAAATAATCAGAGAAAAATCAACTAAAAACAGGTAATCAGAAGAAAGGGAGGGACACACATCCTTCTGCCAAAATCAACTCGAAATAAGAGCCTTGTCCATCAAAAAAACATAGGCATAAGCATTTATGAAAAGGCAGAACAG